GGAGTTGTGCCGGAAAGTATAACAGAGAGGTATACGAGAGGTTGGCAGCAGGTGAACTACTTGACTCAAGTATTTTGGAAGCGCTGGGTGAAGGAGTACGTACCTCTGCTTCAAGAGCGAACTAAGTGGCAGAAACCTCAGAGGAACTTCAGGAAAGGGGATTTAGTCCTGGTGCAATCAGGTGCGTTCTCTCGGGAACAGTGGCCCGTAGGCGTGGTTGATGAATGTGAAACGTCGGGTGACGGTTTAGTTAGGACCGTAGTTGTACGCACACGAGATGGTAGGCTAAGGGGGGATGTGCGTAAGATCGGTAAGATAGAGGGTTGCGAGTAGGGGTGGTGGAAGGAGATAGGAACCGCGCGCTCAACTCTCCGCAGGTGGGAGATGGGTTTTCGAACTCATCGCATACAGAGAGACCACTGGGAGTTGGCGCGTGAGCAATTCCCGTTTGGCGTACTGGTGTAAGTCCACTCGGAACTTGGGGTAAGTAAAATATTTGAGCCAGGAATGACCATAGCTTGATGGAGGAAAATCCGCTGGGGTTTTGGGTGGCGGTGTAGAAGACAGCTTGTCAACAGTGTGCTCCCGTTTCCAACCCCAAGTGACAGCCAATCCCCATACTGATTCCCCTTGGCCAGATGAACTGAAACCTCCTTGTTTTACTGAACTATTTTTATAACTCTTACGGACTTTGATCGGACATTGTGATTTTTGCGGTTGCTCGCCGTCGATATCCGCTTGGTTGTGACGATATCGATTTTGAGGCGAAGTGAACTGCGCTTTATCCTCAGGCTGGTAATTGTACCGCGGAGGAGAATCCGTTGAGGTATGTTGAATATGTATATTATTATATTTGCAATGGTACTGTGATTCCAGAATTTGGATTTCTTGGTCGTTTTCGTGGATTGGCACGCGTAACTCAAACTCAGAAAGCAGATAGCCGTAACAGCTGCCTCCATCAAGACTGAATTTGCACCGCACCTAAGCCCATCTCGCCACCCAAACAAAACGCCCACCTACCTACCGCTTTCGGTAGTGGATACATACTTGACCATGCCAGACTGTGTGCCACCCACGAGTTGGGAGTATACTTTATTATTATTATTATAAATAATTGAATAGGACATACCCAATGAGATTCATGAACCCTCCACTACCAGCATACATGGCTATCGCCTAAAGGCCTCTTCCTCAGGCATCACTCGTTGATTGAAGCCGATATTAGTGCTTTGGGGACTGGTAGTCATTTCTCATACAGGCACTTTCTTTCCTAGATTACGGTATTGTCCATTTCATGGAAAACTCGAGAAATTCTAGTCGAACATCTCAAAATTTCTACTTCCGTCAGTTCTTGTGTTTGAGTTCCCTTATCACATCGCGTCTCTGTGTATCTATAATGATATTTTTCTGTTTCTGGTCCTACAATAGCGTATATTGGCAAGTTTAGACAGTTTTTGATCGCAGGGCTACTTAGTACACATCTACCCCTATTCCGTCTTGTTTAATCGCTTGTTGCTACCACTCGTGTGTGGTAAATGTTCAGGTTTTCTTTCTAATTTTTGACTTCCTATCTGATGCTTCCAAAACTCATCATATCTTACTGATCTCATCCCATTCCTTCTTCTTCCTGAGCTTCGATCTTTGACCACACCTGACTCGGAGGCCCTATTTGGCTGTTATCCACTCCATCTAATCGGCGCTTTACACCGGATGGGATCCCCAGAAAATACCTGCCTTGTTCTACATCTGCGGATTTCCTGGGCTAAACGGGAAAAATCCCGCTGTTCATAGAATTTCACCTCCCAGCCTATTCACCTAAAATACGACGTCCGTCACCGGGTTGTGCGGAAACCAAAGTATGCCAGCGCAGTGATGGCACGGCACTGCCATACCTACTTCTAATGATACACTCTCACCCACTTGTGCCCTTACCCGCAACTGCGAACAAACTCTTCATCTGGCCCCAGCAGCCTCCGGAACGCCTCATTCAAAACTGTTAGACCTGTCGTTCGGATTTAACCATTTCAGTGAACTTCCAGTATATGGTCTCCACGAAGTCATTAATTTTCTGTACAGTTCGTGTTTCGGCAAGTGTCACCAATTAACTCTTCCAAATAAATTTTACACCCAACTCCATCATAGCAGTGACACCAGTGAGTCTCTACGGTTTCACTGTACACCATGATTCCGAAATTCTCGCTGCCATTTACCTGCACTGCCACTCCCTCTACTTCATCATTCCTACTTTCGCTTTTCGTGACCCTGCCCTTTGGCGCAACCGTCCAGAGCCGAAAAGGCTTAGTTAGTTTGTCTTGGTTAGTTTGCTTCACCATAAATCCCGTCCCCCCTAAAAGTGGTGGGGCACTGGAGACCAGTAGACATCTTTCAAGCGGGCCGTCGCAAAGAGACTAGACCTTACAGTGGTGCGACAGCTTGTGCACTCCAGTGATTCGTTAGCTAGACTGGATGGTGTCTTTGCAACATTCACAGAGTCCCTCAAATCAAGTTGGTCAATGGCTGAACGTCTGAAACCACAATTTTATGGCCCTCCGGGTTGAGGGTAGGTACACATGGTGGATTGTTCCGTAGAAATGGTGGTGCATTAGCAGTTCACGCCAAACACCGCTGCCTAGTGGTTAGGCTTTTCAACCAAAGGCTCTGTTTGAGGACCCTAATCGTTCTCCCGTCCAGGGAGAACTAGCAGGCATAAACCTGGCAAGCCGCTGCCTATTAGGCTTTTCAACCAAAGGCTCTGTTTGAGGACCCTAATCGTTCTCCCGTCCAGGGAGAACTAGCAGGCATAAACCTGGCAAGCTTGTGGATTCAGTGGAGCTGACACGTGATGCTGTGCACTCATCAGAAAGAAGAGTCGTCAAAAGAATCGGCTTGGGTCTGAAATTCATGGGCCAAAGCGGCCAAATGTTCCGCCATATCCCACCTCCCTTTCAACTAAATTGTTACAGCACTTGCAAACTCACGTAGACCAAAAACTTACCAGCGACTTCCAAGGTGAATCATCAGTTAAAGCGTCATAAACCAGAAGATCGAAGACCCAAGCCCCATTAAAATGATCTAAAACTCCCAAACACACCAACCGCGAGAGCTGGGCAATCATACAAAAGAACAAAACCTTGGTACTGACAATCAACATCGATCTAGTGTGTTAATCGGAAGCGGTCCCGTGGTCAATTTCACGATAAACACAAAAGTGCTGGCATTTCGCAAACAGTATCCACTTCCTCCGTCACTAGTTCACTTGTACTGTTAATCTGAATTACATCAGATTAGAAAATATGTAAGAGAAAAGTGGAACATAAGTGGTATCATTACAAAAATGTTTCAAAATACACTGGTAATCAGTGAAACATGCTAGAATACGAACGCTTCTTAAGAGTAAGTGTTTCGCGGGATGTAATATGACCCCACCGACATCTCCCGGTATTCCTCAAGTTTAGATTTGTTTTCTGTCTAGCGCCGTCCCACGTTAACTGCCTGCTGACCTTCGCGCAAGTTTTGCCCTCATCTTCAATAATAATATTTATTCCTAACTAGTGGGTAGCATACCGTTGGGTGAGTTACACAGTGAATTCGCATGCGCCGCAACGTCGCGTTTTGGAGATGACTTAACGAAGTCGAAGTGGTAGTGTATGTATGTTACCGACTCAACTCATCCGAGGGTGCTGAATAAAGCTCCACAATTACGTTGAGGGACACTAGATGATGATGATGATGACAGCGCTGATGATAATGATGTGGATGGTGAGGATGATTGTGGTGCCAAGAAGTCACTTAAAATGATTGTCTCCAAATAAAACCGTCTAGCCACCAAGTAAAATTCGGCATGAACTTGGTCCGGTCTGTAGATCTATTCTGCTTGCGCAAGTAGCTCATGACGACACTTGTAATGAGGGTCTACAACTTAATTGCTCATCGCACCAGGTCTCTTCCCTAAAATGCAGCTACTTCTCCAAACACAAGCCATTATTTTATCCATCGATTAGTGGAACCCATGGAAATTTCCTGGAGGACGCTCACCGGTGAGTATTTTTAAGAACAGAACAGAACAACCAATGGCCTCGTTTTTCGAGCTAGCATGTATACAAAGTTAACTGCTTATTCCTCTCAGCTGAGTACTTGAATCCTGCTTCTATCCAATGTACTCAGTGTCACAGCACTTAAGTTTTACCGATCCTAACATTTATAAATTACCTTGCGTACCGAGCGGTAATAACAAAGCTCAGAGCGATCTCGCGTACGCGAAACTAGTCAGAAGACAGTGCAATATTCTCAGACAAGGCTAACACGGATTGTTGCTTCTTAAAGAGAATATCTCAAGAACTATAGGATTTCCCCTGGGGGAATCCGTTTTCTCTCCTATGCTTCTGGAATCAGGTATGGGCGCCAACATCCGAACCTAGAAATGAGTTTTTCAGTGTGTAATCTCAGTCATTGTCGGTGGTTTTACGAGAGCGGAAGATTAGTTTTCAGCATTGTAGGGCGATGTCATTGCTCAGGGCTAAGTTGCGTTATCGAGCAAGGACAATTCTGAGTTCATTAGGTATGTAGCCCCATGGGCTTCCTTACTCTATGTTTGCAAGACTGGGCTTTTTATATTCAACAACCTCAGGTATCTTTAAAATCACGCACAGGTGTTGTGGTGTCAACGAATAAGTTAACATGTGCGCGCTGGTCTAATTCGTTACAGCCGCAAGCTGGCTTATCGCGAACGTGTGTTTGAGGCTTGTGCTGTGAGGCTGAACTGCCATTTAAACAAGGGAGCGGTGTTCACTCTTCCACCTGGCCACAGTTTGGCCGTAAACATGTAGCGTGAAGGAGAAGCGTCCGTAGTCCAAATGAATGCTTGAGGATCTTAGTGGCTTCCTGGTTGCGGCGCCGTGCACACTGCACAAAAACAAAATTACCACAACTTTTTGTTTTCACATCATTGAGACACCACGTCCTCTTGTCCATGGTGGCATTGACTACAGTGGATCATTTACATACACAAATGCTACCTGAACTATCAATGGTACGGTTATGAGGAAGTTATGTAATTGCGTTCAAAGTTTACTTCACGACTTCGCGGTTGCGTACTCAGTACATTATTAGCTGAATTCAATCTTGACAGTAAATACCAATTTTCAGCGGGTAAGCAAAATAAACTCCAGAGTAAAACTACCTGACTCTTATTGCAATTGGTTAAGCTGTTAACCACTGGGATCTCTGGCGTAGTTGTAGAGTAAAGAATGAGGCACACAGCCACCTTAACGTCCTGTATTTATTGTAAGACCGCGGGAATACGACCAAAAGGAGAACATGATGGGTACTTATAAAGCCATAGCCGCGGTTCTAGGTTTAAGTGACCATCACCGAACATTCTTGTCCCACGGTGCATGTAAATAGAAATCTTATTGTTCTTGAGGCCCACGCGCTGCTGGTTGATGTTTGCTATTGTCCAGCCAGGCCCGCAGCACGATGGCTACAGCAATTCGCCCCTAGCACCATCGTGGGTTTAACATTCTAGAAAGTAGGGAATGTTGTAAGCGGTCTTCTGTGGTCTGATACATGAAACACACAAACACCTTACATCGATATACACTGGATCACAACTTGGAACAACAAATTTAAGTGCACCACGATATATAAAGATTGAATATGGGACGGCAATCCAAACTTTTTTCAGTAATGCAGCCTCTACGGGAAATCATTTGTGACACACCTAGTTCAAGATAGACAAACATCGAAGACGCACAGATACACAAAAAGGTGTCTGGCGGACCGCGCCAAGCGTCATGCGCATCTCAGACACACGCCTAGAGCGTTGCGCGTTGGACGCGCAATTTTTACTGCGAAACTCTTGCGAGTCAAATGAAAATTTTTACATCAAACTGTTGCGCTTTGTTTCGTATGCGCTCAGACCAAACAACATCCTAATCTAATGTCATTTTTCGTAGTTTGATTTGTGTAGTCTTCTTTCCACATTTTGGCGCGCATTTGGCTTTGAACATTCTGCGTTATGGCTTCAGAAGTGGCCAGAAGTGTGCTTGTTTAGAAAATTGGGGTGTGTATCCTCATCCTCCACGGTGTTTAAGAGGGCGCTAAATGAATGTATTTGGGCGTTCATCCAGTAACCGAAGTACCAAATCTGCTTTGCGTTACGAATGGGTGTACTACAAATGCAGCAGCCGTTATGCGAGATAAATGAAAAGTCGAGGAATACGTTGAAGCTGATAATCACAGTGTGTTTTCTAATATATAAGTGGCAAAGCACCAGCCGATCAGTGCTTTTTTGTCTAGGGATGCAATGAAAACACCTTGTAGTCACCTCTTATTTTTTTAACTCGACCATAAGATTTCTAGGGTTTTGTGCCATCGACCTCCAGTAAATTGACGGCTGACCGAAGAGAAAGTAGCACCTGCATGGCCCTGCTGAAAAATGTGTAAAATGTGGTAGTTTGTGACAGATCAGTTTGGCAAGATCCTTTCCAATCAGGACATTTGCACATACTGTCAAAAGTGTCGACCGGCGCTAATGAGTAGCTGCCACGTAGCCTGGTTTTCTTGCATCAGATAATATGCTTCCGGTCCCGGGTATACTTTGGGAGACCGAACGTGTGCTTTCGCTGCAGTCAGGGAAAAGTCACCGTGACCGCATGTGCCCCACCAGATGGCAGCAGATGGTGTCGTTTCAACGCTTTCTGGATGTAGTCGATGTCGACGAAACCTGGGCGACAAACCGTTTTTGTTAAGCTTTTTTAATCACCAAATATCCGGCCAGTAGATACAAGCTGTTGTTAATGCTCTAACGGAGCCCGAAAACTAGTTATACGAAAGAGAAAACGGGGTGCACTAGCAATGTCCGCTTGTTGAGTAAAATTATTACAATAGATATATATGCAAACAACGGACTTATCGTTTTGCAGGTACAGTTTGATAAATCCTGTTGTAAATCCGGATGCAGGTTTCGTGTCTTCTCCGCTGTTGTAACAGCCACACGTAGTCCTGGATATCCGTGAGTGAAACGCCGTAAAAATCCTGAGCGGCTCTGCTCCGAGCTGGGCGACGTGCGAAGCTCTGTTGAGTTGTGTCGTGTTGCTGTGCTGGCATCCTATTTGTAGGACGTTTGCGTGTGTGTGGGTGTCAGCACATGACTTTTTGCTACCGCATCAGGCGGTAGACAGTCGATATCGGATGTGTATCGTGGTTTGTACCACCAGGGAAAAAAGAGGTCTTGGGATGGAGGGCTTGACTGTGAGCTGTGTAGTCAAGTTATTCACGATTGTAGCGTGATTTGTGAGTGCAAGAAAAAAATAGATCTCGTGATCCAGCGAGTGGCGGTGACCTGTACAGTCATGTATGTGGCGAAATGGTAGCTACAAATACCCTCTCCCTAGAAGGAAGGCTGTGTGTTGTGGTTAGGGTTGTCCGGGTACAAAGCGATCAGGTCAGTGAACATGACGACCGAAGCGTGTGGTTCTGCACTGCTCATGTGGAGTCGTGGCATGAGTTGGCTTCGGAGAAACTTCGGTCGCGTTGCTTTCGGGCTTGACATCGCTGGTGTTGTTTCCAAGACGTCCTGAATCAACAAAATCAGTATAAGCTGGTTTCAAACGATCTATGCTAACAGTATCAGACTTATTGTTAAATTGCATGGTGAAATACTTGGGATGACTAGAGATCGAAAGATAAGGACCGTCATAAGGGGGTTGCAAAGGTTATTTAACACGATCATGGATGGCATGGGTACCGGCTGTCCGGTTATGTATGCCCTCATGGAAAGCGAATATTTTGTTTCCATGTGGAAACTGTTCGGCTTATTCAGGGAAATGACTGGGGGCGTCATCAATTGGAGGCTTTCCTCACAGACAGTTTAGCGGCACAAGTTCGTTCTGCAAGAGTCGTTTAGGCTGCCGCGTCACGCTGTGCTACTTTCGTACTGTAAAAGCCGTCAAAAGGAACCACTTGTTTATTAAAGCTAATGGCAGCGCTCCGGGAATAGGTGATCATTCATCTTCCATTCACTTTCTCTCCCAAGTTAAGGTACTATCCAACTCACGGACTCGCCCAGCATCTCGGACCTCTAGTCAATCCTTATACATTTCAGTTCCCTAACCACATTACCTTTCTGCGAGCTCACACAGGTTTTCTCCGAACCTCTACTAATCTAATACCATACATCAGCAAACTTAACCCCTGCTTGACCGTTAACCCCCTAAGCGCAGATTCACCTCGATCCTGTCCCATTAATCACTTGTTTTCACCGCCGTACTTGTGGTAAACATTTTTATCTCTATTATTGCATCTTGTCCTGCCTGGGGCACTTACTAGTCTCCTCCCGGCCCATTGTCTTTCGAAGCTTCAACCATCGGCAAGACCTGGTTTGGACGCCCTGTTTGGCAGTTATTATTTCCATCCGTGATCTGCCCTCAGGTTGGTTCCCAACTGTAACCAAAATCTTCTCGATCTTACATCCGCTCTGTTCTACCTCTGAGGATTTCTTTCGCCAACCAGCACATCCCAGCCCAAACGCCTTAAATATGACGTCCGTTACGGGGTTGTCCGAAAACCGTATTATATCGGGCCAGCGAAATGTACAGCACGGCTGCACTCAGTTTCATAGCACACCCGCAACTACTAACTATATACTCTTGAACGCACCCTTTTGCTCACTCGTTCAACTAACTGTAAATACGAACAAACTCTTCACCCGGCCCCAGCCGCCTCCGGGACACTTTCACTCAAATTTGCTGAACATTTTGTTTGGACACAACCATTTCGTTAAATTTCAGCCTGTGGTCTACATAAAGCCAATAATTTTATGTACAGCTCGCGTTCCGGTTTGTACGCTGTCACCGTCCCACTCTTCCAAGGAACTTTTACAACCGACTTCACTACAGCAGCGACACCAGTGAGTCTTCAGTTTTAGTGTACACCACTGCTCCGGGATTCCTGATATCAGTTATTAGCATTGCCAATCCCTCCACCTCGTTATCCACTTTCACGCTTTTCGTGACACTGACCATAAGCCCAACACTCCAGGGTCGCAATGCCTCAGCGGTGGTTTTGGGTTTTAGTTCAAATCGACCGGCCGGCTTACGCCAACTATGTTGCTTCACCAAATCCGTTGTTCTGTTCCCTCGTTTTTTGAAATTTAGTTTTCTTGTCGGGTGTCAGACATCAAGCCTCTGGTCTTGCCGTCTCTCGGTTTGTTTTTTCTCACTAACTCCGAATTCCGACGGTTACACAGGATAATGCCAACTTTTTAAGACACTGACTCTCGTCTGGGCGATCCCCACTTGCCAACAACCCCCCACCAGTCATGCTTTTATTCTGGCTGTAGCTTGAACGTGCCTGACAGCGTGCGACCTACTAGTTGAGAATATAAATTATTGCTGTTATAATCCATGCTTTTGCCGCAAACTCTGCGAACAACCGGTACACATCCCGCTGCATGACCCATTTGGACAACACCGTACAGTGTGTATTTTGTTTATCGTGATAAGATTTCGGAAGAGATCGGCAAATACTATGCCCCGGTGACCTACGAGTTGTCTTATCTTATGGTCAACTGGTTTTACCTTAGGCGGAAACGGGCTGTACATGCGCTATCAGGGATGGTTTACATTGGTAATGTGACCGACAGCCGCCTAATGGATGAAAAAGGTCGTCCTGGAAACCCGCTGTACCACTCCGACACGCCGGAACACGCCATAGCAAAGGTGTCCAGGCACGCCGAGTGGCTCATGCAGGAACTCGACTTTCCTAAATCGTATCAGTGTGACGTTCGAACAATCCTGAGGATGAGGGCTATGAACTGAACGTGGTCTGTAAAATGATTACGTATGAATGTTCTATCATTTTGGGGCACTGGGGGCCGCGTCTTTCAGGACTACTCTATCATATTGCTGGAACGAATAAGTTCAGATAAACTAACGTATAGTTCGTGATGCAAATACCCAGGTGCTCCCAAATGGTTGACACCTGTGCTGCGGAATGCTTATTCCCTTTCTACCAAGTGATGTGCCCTCTTTGCATCCATTTGTTCTCTGTTTTCAGAGATCTTTCAGTTCAAAGCATTAAGAACTATTGTTCACAGAATCTTCCTTAGGTAGCTTCCAAACCCATCAACGGTGGCTCTCGGATATTACCCAGCTGGAAAAAGGTATACCTCTTATGCTTACACTCACGTCGGAATTCTGTGTGTGTCCGCGTTTTCGAGTCAAAGGAGGAGCCAATCGACAGCCGTAAGAAAATACCTGACTACCACGGCTGATGCTGTAGAGTGCCAGCTAGAGCAAAGAGATGAAGCTGATTTCATGTGACCCGTCAGCTACAGGCGGTTCGTCAGTTAGTGGGACTTCAAGCATTTTACGCAAGTTTCGCATCCGTTGAGGGTTATGGTCAGTAGGCATGCGAATTAGCCGTCGAAGATGGCGCTATGTAAACAAACCTCTGCGATGTTTTAGACGCTGAAGTCCTCCCATTATAGGATAAGGATTGGCTAATGGTGGTATTTCGGTAACCTAACTTATATCTTCTGCTCATTTAAGGACGTCGGCAGCTCAGTGAACACAGTTCACGAGGAAGGCCACTCGCTTCCCGTCAGGAAATGTGTACTCATCAAAACGACCAAAACAATTCAACTTTTCATGTCACATAATTTAGACCTTTTCCCCGATAGAGATGGATGGACGATCTTCGGCCAGCTGAGTAGACATCGTGGACACCTAGCCGTATGTCAGTTGGTCAGTTGCGTCAGCTAGGTTCATTAAGCTATCAGCGATGGTTGGCGTCATGTTCGTCCTGGCATATTTCGCAGGTTACAATAGAACGCCGCTATTTCACAGCAAACTTACACGATTTATCCGGCGATAATGAATGCGGATTCAACGATTTCAACTCGCAATGGAAGTTATCGAGCTACCTGAACACACACATATTCGGGCCCTCACGTAGATATAAGTAACGAAACTCATTTACAGGAGTGGCAACTCCGAATATTTCACATCCACAAGCACCACACAGTTTCTAGAAAGCCCTTAGAATTATTTCAGTGGCAGAACTATCTGCAAATTTTGCCCATTGTAAGTGATTAACCTTTTTCCGCAATTCACGATATATTGTTGCATCAGGCAACGTACTCATAGTCGGTGGTGCTTGATGATTCGCCATGAATAATCGATCACTCAAGCGAATCACCTGTTTAGATAAATTGCAAACTAATTCGCTATACATAAACATTCTACGCTATGAAGTTTCAACCCTGAAAACGTCGTAGCTTTTGGGAAATCAGCTCCATTGTGCGACTACTGAGTGGCCCTAGGGCTAATTGATGCTAGACGTTATTCACCTTATTTTATCTGACGACTATCCAGGTGGGTCATTTGTAGCACCTTCGTGGGTCCAAAGCACCAGAATATGCAGGATGTTTAGGCACAGATCAGGACAACTCGGCAGTTGAACCAAACCGCCTCCTCCTTGGATAGACTGGGGTTTCTTCTACTTATAAGTGTAGTTCGAATCATGTCTGCATGGCCATGATTCAGCTTGACCTCTTTTACACGATGACTATCACTGAAATTCACTGTCAGCGCTATAGTGGGTTCAGCACCCCGAACCGTTCAACACACCAAGGTATCTCCATACGTCTTGGTACGCACCGCAGTGATAACAAAGTCATATACCAGATAAGCATCGATTCAAGGTAGCCTGTGTGCACGTAGCTCGCTAACGAAAGACCTCCCACGCCACCTCGGCCGTCTGCTTAGCCTCTCTGCATGCCGAGAAGTGTGGAAGCCTAACATCCTCGAAAGACGAGCTGACCATGAACTGGGCGCTCTGATTGGTCAAAATAACAGGCCAAGGTGGCAGTCTTCTGGTATTGCCTGCTGTACTCCGGTTGCCACTGCGGCACTTGCAGTGCGCCCGAATTTCTAGATGGTTACTTTGGATATGACGCTCCATATGTAGTTTTTTGACTTGGTATGGACTTTCGGTAGATTCCGTGCGCCCTCAGTGGTTTTTTCTGCCGAAGACACTAGCTTGGGAGGGTCAGACTGAAAACGGCTGGAATATCAAAATTATTTCCTTGCGCCCCATTGTGCGCACTATATTTGCAGGCCACAATAACAGGACTGAAAGCTTTGCCCGCTTTGCATCACCTTTGGAAACCTTTTCTGTCCACATACCTTTGGCAACAGCCACAAACTCGAACTTTGTATGGACGTGTTACACTATTCAGGGATTTGCTGGAAACTCGACAGCTCATGACCAGTTTCACCTTCCTTGGGGCTTATCATTAGGCGCAATCATCGAGTCCCCTTTAACGTCGAAGCGTTTTCAACACCCTTATGAGTAATGTACTGTCTGCAAACTGCATTGCGATATCTCGAGATCGTACCAAGTAGTATCTACGTAGCTGCCTCTGGTACTGTGTAGCAAACAGGGCTACGAGCTACTTTTGCCCGTATGCTGGATTCCGCATTGTTGTATGCAGTTTACCAGAAACAAGAGTGTAGGACGCAATCACGTACTTATTCAAGTTGCTCTTGTATGTCGGGCTGAAAACAGGCGCCGTTGAGGTCTCTGGTGATGCGAACGCTCGGGTAGCTTGGATTAGTGCTGCCGATGCTTATTTGGACTGTCGTCTTCGACTTGAATCGAAGTGTGCAGACATCTGCGAACGCCTGCTGCCGACCGAGACTGTTTCTGTGCCGTAGTAGCTTCCGAAAAAACCGAAGGCGCTTGGCTACATAGTGCCCCCACATTCTAGCCAACCTCCAACACAAATGAGCCTCGTTGTCATTAGCTATAGTTGGTATTGGTCATCCAGTTACTCGCTCATTCTGCAACCTGTGTAGATGCGCTTGTGTGTCATGCGCTTGTTTGTTACTACTCTCCGCTAGGCTCTTCAGGGACGCGCAAGATGTACACTCCTCGTCTGGCCAGTGACAACCTCACGGACCCTGATGTGAAGCAACTATCAGAATAACCCATTCAGTTCTTTTTGGAAACTCTTCTGATGTTTAATTTTACAAGAAGGCACTGTCCATAACCCTGCAAGATGCTGGCGCTTTACTTGTGAACTGGCGTAATCAACTAGATCTAAGCACTAGATCAGGAACAATCCTAAAATTGCCCGAAGCTTGGGCACGTATCCCTTGTCAAAAGTACAATACCTCCAGACGAACTGTGAGACCTCAGGTGCAAGGTTTTATTTCACCAGCCAGCATACAGTTACAGCAGTTAAGTTGATTCAATCAATATCAATACATCGTCGAGGGAAAGCACCCGACCAAAAGCTGTCACCTTGCTGTGGTAGCAGGGCTTCAGTGATGCAATAGTCCTGTGGATTATACTGACTGGAACTCATCCTAACGGTCCAACCATACTAAGAAGGCCAACAGAGGACATCCCCACGAAGAACAGCGAGTTTCCGTAATCTGTAAAATCTCAAGCATGGGTGCCTCAACCAAGCCCCTTTCTTTGGCCTGGGCAACCGAGAAGTATCGTTCGCTCCTACTCGTCTTCATCCCCTGTCCCACCAACGTGCCCTTCACCCAAGTCCTTCTAAATCGTTTAATTGTCAATCACCTGAACGTTGCTTCTCACCTAAGCTTCTGTCCAGTAAAACATACAAATAAACCCTTATCAAATTCAAAGAACCTGTTTCACATTACTGCTTTCAACGTGCGTACCGTGTCAAATCGTCTCTTGCTTAGAGCCTGTTCTCTCTCGCTTGATGTACGCTGTGTCTCAGAGACACGCGTACGAGTCACGAGTTCGTTCGGGGGCGAGCTGGCTCAGCGGTAAGAGTGCGGATTTACTGACTGGAAGGTCCGTGGTTCGAACCTGACCTCTGCATCTCGAATTCCCCTGTGTAGCCTTGGGCAACCTGGCACTATTCCAGCCCTCGTGCTTCCTTCGGGTATATAGCAGCCAGGCACCGAAAGTGTTACAGCTGAATGATTATTATTATTATTATTATTATTATTATTATTATTATTTCGTTCATTATTCCCAAATGGCTCGCAGTGAACCCAAGTTTTCCGCATTTTACTCTTCGGGTGTCCGGCGATCCTGATGCAATAGCTCGTGGTGTCTACGACATGAAGTCGTGCTTAGCCCCATGGCAGAATGCGCCTTACTGGACAGTAAACAGTCATCTTTGCGCTGTTATGCTGACTGATGCAAACAAGATCAACACATTTCGACGTGGTAAGTGGTGTTTGTTAGTTGTGACAGCATACGCCTCGACAGGCGGTCGCTCCGGGACCGGGAAGACGGCTTCTGTCGAGATTTGTTACGGTTACTCCAGTCAATGAGAAGCATAGGTATCGTGATTTTGGCAAATGATGTGAATGCTCAGGTTGGCCAACTACGTCCTGATAAAGCCCGTCTTGGCGGCCAATTCGGGAGGGCACTCACCCCACAGATAATGGGGGACGGCCCCTCCAACTGTGTGCCGAACCTGTATATCAGAGATGCAGGCACAGTGGTTTATCTAACCTCTCATCATTCTCCACTCGCTTCCGGCTGCACACCTCTGGCGATCCAGATACTGCTGTGGCAAGATTTGAAGGGGTTGGGTTCGTCGTAAGTCACCGGACGGGACGATCCTTGCTTGAAAGGACACCCGTTGATAGTCGCGTGTGTGCGGTTCGTCTGGCAACGTCTGTGAGGGAGTTTCACAGTGGGAAAGTTGGTCGATCTCTATTTGTCTTGTCTGCCTACAAATCAACCGACTACCTCTGACACCATCAAAGATAGGATTCATGACTCCCTGAACGCCCTGTTGCGGCGAACTAAAAGATTGCCCAACGTTGTGGTTGCCAGAGATCTAAATCCACAAGTGGGCAGGCTTAATGGGTTGGTCGACATGAACTGGACTCGGTACGTACGGACAATGGTAAACGATTACCTCAGCTGTGTACTGACCGCAGGCTGTTTTTATGCAGTGCTAACTTCCGAAATCGCCGAAGTCGTCTGGCCACATGGTGTCTTCCAACGGTGTGCCGGCCACAAACTCAAATCGATCACACAGCAATCAGTTACCGAAAGCGCGGATCAACAACTGACTACCACTCTTTTTGGAGCAGAATTGTCGGTTCTGACCACGCGCTCGTCCGGACGCGCAAGGTGCGGGTAAATAGCTGAGCAACTGAGAGTTTGGCAGATCCTCTGTCTAGGCTTGGGCAACCTGGCAGTATCCCAGCCTTCGTGCTTCCTTCCGGTGGCATGGCAGCTAGGCACCAAAAGGGTGCTACAGCTGAATTGTTTATCTATTTTT